CACTGTCAGTACCTGCCTCACTTGACGGGTCATACCAGGGCGGGTGCGTGCTTGGCTTCACCCAACACTCCTCCATGGCACTGAGTCACCTGCCCTGTGCAGGATGCCCAGCTCTGGGCAGCCACTGAGGCTGTGGGTGGTGAGGAGCCTCTACACACGTGCTCCCAGCTGTGGGGTTGGGATGACCCAGCACCTGCTCTCACCTTTGTGACTCATCCCATAAAATAAAATAAGGGAGAAGGGAGTGGGGAGCAGACAGGAGTGGGAGACTCAGGGCATTGGATGCTCCCATCTCTGAGCCTTCTTTCATCCCTTTAAAAAACCATTTTATTTTTTTTTTAATGAGTTTATTTATGTAGCCAGCCTGGATTAGCAAACAGCCCATCCTGTAACACATGGAATACTTGGTACTGAGACACCAGTAACCAGAGAGAAATCCTAGAGATAAAATTAAACATAATGAGATTATGTGGTATCTCTCTGTCAGGGACCACCTTACGCAGAGCAAACTAATTGCCTGTGCAGAGCAGAAAGTGGGTGATGAGCAGTGTCTGGGAGCTGGGGAGGGGCTGGTGCCATCAACAGCAGCTTTGCAAAAGAAAAAAGCATTTGGGTTGAGTGCTGAGGAGCAAGATGAGGAGCCCAACAGCATTTGGGGGACTGGAGTATCTTCTGCTCAGCCCTTGTGAACTCATTGTCCCCAGCAAAGAGTTGCTGCTGCTAGGTTTTTGTATATTTTCAGTTTGAGTAGCCTTTTGCTAAATCATAATTAATAATAATAGTAATAAATTAATTAATAATCTGGAGAAGTGTCTGGTTCGATGGACAAGGTGGACATGCCATTTGAGGCAAGAGCCAGGATAGGGCATTGAGCACTGTTCAGAGAAAGCAAACCCCCTACCAGGTGTGGGGCCAGGGCTGCAACACCAGGAGCATCATATATATGGGATTTTTCCGTAATTTAGTGGGGAGAAAAAATATCTTAAAAAAGCAAAAAAGCATGTGTCTGTGTAATATAAAATTCAAGTTAGGCACTTAGTGATTTCATGGAAAACAACAGGCTTTTTATATTGGCTCTTGGGGTAGGAGGAGAGCAGGCTAGAATAAAGATTTACAGTCTTTGGGAGATTAAAGGCCCTTGGTACATTGTTCAAATACCACGAGATTAGTTTCCAAGGAGACGGATACCAGTTGCCATAGGCACCGGGGGCCAGGAATTAGGATTGCGATTTTTTATCCTGATCACGCAACCAGTAGCTGAATGCTGTTAAAACTGGGCTTTAAATAACCCCAGTGTTAGTGTATACACTGCCAAACCACAGGCAGGGAACAGAGTCTGCCTGCCTTCCCCCTGCACCAGCACCCACTCACGCATGCAATGTGGGACCCAAGTGTTGATGGAGGGGTGCAGGGGGGTACAGGGCTGGGCACCCAGCTTGGTGCAATCCCAAGACCTGCCTTGCAGGTTATCCTATGTCTTCTGAGTTCATTTCACTTCATTTTTTCACTGGGCAAGGGATTGCCAGAATCTTCTTGCAATAACCAGCAGTCATGGTGGTGCAGGAGCTGAGGGATCATCACAGATTCATGGAATCATGTGGTTTGAAAGGGGCCTTAAAGGTCATCCAGTTCCTCCCCCACCCCTGACATGGGCAAGGACACCCTCCACTAGACCAGTGGGATGTACCAAGGGGTAGAATTATCAGCCTGCTAATTTTGGCTTCCCTATGCCACTTGCTTCTGGGAAGTGCAACCTGAGCCCTGGCGTTTGAGGCGCCGGATCTGCGTCTCTCCTTCTAGGAACTGCCAAGCAGCATGCTTTGGTACAGGAAGGGGTGCTGAGCTCCCTGATTGAGGCAGAGCTTTGGGGCTGGCCATCCCCCTGGGGAGGGAGGCTTAGCTCTGGGAGCTGTGCAGGCACCCAGGTCCCTATGGCTGGGTGGTTCTGTTCACCCACCAGTCACCATGAAGCTCATCTTGGCCTCACCCAAACATTCATACAGGGCTGCCAGGGCAGGATCCAGCTTTGCATGCATGGTGCTTTCAGCATCCCTCCCTGCTGTAGTGGGAATGATCCAATTAACACTTTTTTCTCCCTTGTTTTTCTTTAAAATTTCTTTAATAAGTGAAGAAGCAGTTGCTGGAAGCAAGAGCTTCTGCGCCTGCCTGCCATGAGATTGCAGCGTGGAAACTTGTCTGGAGCTGAAAGCAGTGCTGCTGGAGCTCCACAGACAGAGTGATTCCCCAGCAGCTGCCATGCCATGGAAGTGTTTATCCTGGGGGAGATGAGATACAGCCTCTGAAGGGCACTTGATCCTCTTCTATCTCTCTTTGCACCAGACAGAAGCCTACTGTAATTTTACTATACTATATTAAGGTATGCACCTAGGCTAGGCTTAAGGAAATCAAGGTGGCAGCAGAATGCAATGCCCTGGTTGGATTCCTGTGGTAGACACTTTTCCCTGTGGGAGCCCCCAGTTTGCTTTTTGCTTCTTTTATAAATGGGACTAAACCACAGCAGGTGCCAGATTATCCAGAGAAGCGAATCTGAGGCAGTGATGCTGGTGAATGCTGTGATGCTGGTGTCTGTGTGAGGAGGTTTTCCAGCAGGTGCCTTGGGATTTGTGGGTAAAATAAAACAGGGAGGGAGGTGTTTGGTCATGAGAGTTTGCTCTGCCCTGTACTACCCACTTGGAAGGAAACAGGCAGGGGAGATAGAGGGTTTGGGAGAGCCAACAGAGGAAGCGAGACAGGAGCTACTGCACCAAGCAGTGCCTGCATCCTCACTGTGCTGGTCACTGTCACTGGCCCAGACTGCACCAGAGGGTGTTTGACCCCCAGCTCTGCTGCTTTCAGTCTTCGGAGAGAGGTGTCACCTTTAAAACCTGGTATCAGCTTGATACCTTTCAATCCTGGAAAAGCTGGCAGCCCACAGCTTGGACAGGAGCACTCTTTGCTGGGCTAAGAACTGGCTGGGCCCAGAGAGTGCTGTTTGGTATTTGAGAGTTTTATTTGTAGGACACAGTAGACCAACAGGAAAAAACAAATTAATTAGTTTAAACCAAATATGTTTTAGGCCAGTTTGGACAGAGCTTTGGGCACCTGGTCTTGCAGAAAGTGTCTCTGCCCATAGGAAGGGGATTGGAATGTGATGGACTTTTAAGGTCCTTACAAACCAAACTATTCCATAGTTCTGTGATTCAGTATTGGTAGCAAAAACCCCAGTATTGGTAGAAGTCAGTGTAACAAGCAGCAATTGTGAGATATGCTCCATCCCTCCTGGGCATTCTGTTGTTCCCATCTCATAGCATCTCCTACTCTGCACTGGGTTTGGCCCTGGGTAATTCCCAAAAAAGGGTCATTGCCTTGCCTTTTTTTTTGCTGGCAAGGGTGACCCAGAGGAGTGGAAGTAGGGGGTGAGCCAGTAATTGAGTCCAGATTTGCAAGTCCTGGATAAATGTTCAGCTTCCCTTGTGGAATGAGATTTTGGGGATTTACGCTGTATCAGGCACAGCAGGATGAGGGGCAAGGGGAGGATGGTGGTGGAGTCTCTGTTTCAAGGACCATGGCAGTGTGGAAACACCAGCTCAGTTAATAAATAAGATGCTGTTGCTTCTGGCTGACATGGGGTTGAAAATCATTGTAAGACTTTGGAAGATAAGGAAGAAGGGGGATGAAAACTCTCCCATTCTTAGCACTGGGACTACCCTGCAAGTTCACTTTGCATGGGCCAGGGACATGCTGTGCGAGTTGCTGGATCACATCAACCCCCTCTACTTCTAATAGGACCTGTTTATCATTTGAGGGGTATAATAAAAGCTTTCTGGCAAGAAATCTCCTTTGGGGGGTTGTCACTGGCTTACTGGTGGGTTTTTTTTTTTTTTTTTTTGACTGTTTTGTTAGCTGCATGGGATTTGGAAATGGTGATGTGTTTGGAGGATGTTTATCTTGGTGAGATGGAAACATTAGAGGGACTGGTGAGGGGATGTGCCTCCTGTGGGTGCAGGCCTGGGGGGGCCCTGGCTCATTCCACAGGAGTTCATGAGCCTCCCAACTGTGCCTGGTTTATCCTTTGCTGCAGCACAGGTGATTCATGAGTGAAACTGCCCCAGGGAAAGTTTCTAATCTTTCCCAGGATTACCAAGGGAGATGTTGTAAGAGCCAAGCAGGAGATGACATCCTGTGCCAGCTGTTGCACAGCACTCTGTTCCCCTGAGATTACTTTGTGGATGAGAAATAATTAAAAAATAATAAAATTTGATAACTTAAAAAAAAACCAAACTAAAAAATGTAAAAACAATCTGCAAAAAAAGTTTGCTTTGACCCTGTGACAGTGGTGTGATGGTCCCTGAGCCAACCTTTGCTCCTGGGGTTGAGACTGAGTTTGCAGATGTGTGATGGGGCTGTACCTGGAGCAGGACCCCTGTGAAAGGTGACATTAACCCTTTGGTGGTCTCCCAGGGAGGGATTTCAGTAGGACAGGCACATGGAGCCCCAGGAGGTGGGGCAGGCTGCTCTGCACCCATCCTACCCACCTTGCTCCCTGTTGCCAGCCCAAACTGCTGCAAGAATGGTTTACCCTAGTTTTCCTAAAGAGTTTCCCTTTAATTAGACAAACAACTTCAAGCCTTATGTCTTAATTTGATTTAAATAAGCCTAGCACTTGCTAGTGAAGTTTTCTTTCCTCCCTTTTATTCCACCCCTCTGTAAATCCACTGTCATGCTCTTTGTGACCACAAATGATTAAAAGCTTTACTGGAATATTGTCCCCCCCATCCCTTAAAATCCCATTGTGTTACTTGGGTCATCTTTTTGTTAAGCTTTGGGGTTTTTTTTCTTGTTGAGTGATTCTTGCTTTTACTTATTAAACAATCTGCCAGGGGAAAGGGATTATTTTTGTCCTGGTCTCCTGCAGGATAGGAAGGGGATGCAGGGACCCTGCCCCACTTCCCATTGATGTTATCCCTGTCTTTCCTATTGGTTCCCTCTCTGCAGCCAGATCCAGCTTGTGGCTTTGCTTTTTGCAGCCAAGAGAGGAGCATCTCTTCCCTGGAAGTGCTGATTCCTGTGGGAGGCCGTGGCTGAGCAGGTTGGTGCAGCTAGAGCTCTCTGAGTGGATGCAACCAGCCCCACCAAGGCAGGGACTGGTTCTCTGAAATGCTGCTAGAAGGCAACAGAATGTCCATGTCATAGCAGTATATTTCATAGTAAATAGGGCACTCGGAAACATGTATGGGCATCATGTGTGGAATCTCAAGTTCCCTGCAGAGCTGTGCTCAGGAAGCAGCTGGGGAGCTTGCAGGTGAAATGGGCTCTAGTCTGTCTGTCTGTCCACCCATGCATGCACAGACTGCAGGGCTGGAGCAAGGCAGATTGCTTCCTGGTGTTGCTGCAGCTTCTTGTGAAGCTGGAGGTGCCTGGCAGAGACCTGTCCCCAACATGGGGACACCAGGGGTGTGTGCCCAGCTGCAAGACCGTATGTTCAGTTTCCTGCTTTATTTTCCAAGCTGGTGCCTGGTTAGGCCAGGTTCTTTCCCTCCCAAGATCATAATGGAGATGTTCATCAGCTTTGTTAGAAAGTGTCAGATGGGTGGAAAAGGATTTTCCTGGGTGACTGTTAGTGTGGCCACTGTTCCAGCTCTGCCATCTGCAGGTGCCAGTGGAGCCCCAGCACTGCTTAGCTGCTTTCAAGACCTGGCAACAGCTCTTGGGGGGCACATCCAGAGCAGTTCCCAAAATTCAGTCATTATTGTTTAATGGGATTTGTCTCCCCTCTTCATCAGCTTGTTGCAGACCCTTATAAAAGTTTGCCTGGAGAAGCTGTGGCTGTCCCATCCAGGATGGGTTTCAAGGCCGGGTTGGTCGTGGCTTGGAGCAAGCTGGGATAGTGGAAGGTGTCCCTGCCCGTGGCAGGGGATTGGAATGAGATGACCTTTAAGGTTCCTTCCAACCCAAACTGTTCTGTGATTCTTTCATGACGTGTGTGCTCAGGCACCTGCAGAGATGCCAGTGTGGGGGAGCTTGTTATTTTGGGTCAAAACCCACCATTTCCCCAGTTTCATGGGGCAGCACAGCTTTGCTTTGCATTCAAATTCCTTCTGCTTGGACACAGGTACAAACTAGGGCAGGAAGGTGAATTTGGGGATTTGCTGTTACCTGTAACCCATTTTTCAGTGAGGCTGAGTAGCTTTGGTTATCGACTGAGTGGCAAATTGAGTTATGTGCAGGCAGCTTCATTCATATTCCCCGCCTTCTGCCCATCCAGCCTTGTTAGGGATTCTCTAGCCTCTTTCATCCATTTGCAAGCACATGATTTATGGTCTGGTTCAAGTGGCTTATGAGCTAACTTGCCTCCCTTTCCTCACAGGATTAAAGCAGGGCTGCCCTCCAGATGGAGGGGCAATAGCTGGGAGGGGTGTGTTGGGTGCTGGGGGGTGATGCTGTCTCAAATGTGGGTGTTCCAGGATGGCTGAGGCCTTGCTGAGTTTCCCTGCAGCACTGGCATTACCATGAGTTGAGATGGGACACGGACACTGAGGTGCAGAAGCCTGATGCTGTCATTCACTTGTAGCTGGGTCACAGTGTTTTTCCCCATTTGGCTGTGAGGGATGGAGATTCTGGGGCTGAGCCTCTTTTCAGATGTGTGGTCCCTTCACACCACCTCATCCTGTTCCTCCTGACACCAAGAGCTGCAGAGTGGGGTGATTTCATTAGGGAATCCCTTGCCATGAGCTGCATCTCTCTCCTGGGGTGAAAGCAGGGCACCCTGTGACTTTGACCTGTTTCAGGGACACTTTTGGGTGTCAGGCTCTCCTCTTGCCCAGGATTTAGAGCAGGAGGCACAAGGACGGTCAGCACGGTGTCTTGGTGGGGACAGAGCCATCACCCCCTGCTCACAGCTGCCACCAGAGCTTGGGCACAGGAGTGCCCCGTGTCAGCACCACGTGCCCCAGCTTGTGTGGCCACAGGCTGCACATCTGGGGTGTCCCACCATGCAGCTGGTCCCGTGGTCCCTGCGCAGTGGTGGCATCTCCTCGAGGGTGAGCTCCAAATGCAGAGATGATCACACACAGCATCGGCTCCAGGGTTTGATTCAGCAGCTTCTGCAGTTACCTGCCTTTAGCAGAGGACTCGTGGGGACTGTGGGCTTCAGGCAGCTGTGGCCTCTGTGCATGCCTCAGTTTCCCCTGTGCACCTATGCCAGCATTGCTCCCATAGCACACGATGGCAGTGAGGCTTCTGTGGTGATGCTCAGCTCCAGCTCTCTGTTAGTAACAGTGATGCATAGCTCTTTCACTTTTTTCTATTTTCAGGTGAATATGGCCTTGGCAGGGAAGCCTTTAGATGTGACACTCACCACCTCCAGAGCTGACCAATGGAATATGGTTTTTCCCCAGAGAGATGAAATCATCACCAGCTTAGTGTCTGCCTTAGACTCCATGGTAAGAGGCCAGTGGCACCCCTGTCCCCATTCCCCTCCCTCCTTTGGCCTCCATTTAGCAAGGCTGTCTGGGTGCAGGGCTGGCACAGGATGCCTGGTGAGCTCATTCCGCTCTCCTCTGCTGCTGGAAAGCCCAGGGAGCTGCTGAGAAATAAAAACCCTTTCCTACCCTGACAGCTGTAAGGATCATAAAGTCAGCACAAGTTAATCTCAGATGTGTATTGTTTTCCCATTAATATTTATGTTGGTATCAACTGGCTGTAGGGTGGTTGGCTTTTTTTTTTCCTTGCTGTTTTACCAATGTTACCGTGAGCATTTACACAACAGCAGAACAATGGCTTTTTATCTCTGAGAACAAAGAAAATAACTTTCATATCTTTTGACGTAGAATTCCCAGTGGAAACCTTGCCTAAGTCAGCCGTGCTTACATAAACAAGATAACTGTCTGGATTAAGTCTCGTGGACCAGAGCTAATCTTATTTTTAACTGTGAATGTGATCAAGAAGGGAAAGCGGATGTGTAGTAACAAATGTCTAATGCAATGAGATGTGCTAAATAGCTCTCTCTTTTTAAAGTCAAGTCATATGTAATGCACTTATCTAGGATATGTTTTCCTCTCTATGCGGGTAGAGGTTTTTTCATTAATACCAATTTCCTTCTCTTTGACATCACCACCCCACTAAGGAGCAGGTTCCCTGGAGCCTGCACACCCCAAGCAGCTTTGATGATTTATATCCATGCCATCCTGTACAGCAAATTATGTTGCCATAGTTTGGCTTCTTAACGAATATACATTATTATGCAGTCCTTGTTAGGTGCTTACACTGGGGCCAGGGAGCCAAGCTCCTGAAATTCAGCCTTTATCCCAGCACTTCCCCAATGGCAAGCTCTGTGCTCACTGAAACCTCAGGCCTGTGCACCTGTTAAATAAACCTCAGGGCCATGTGCATGTCACCAAGCAGGCTTAGGGCTTGGATTTGTTCTGCATCCAAATCTCACCTTAGTTTTTGTGTTTATTTTTTGAGCGTTGGGCTTTTTGAGCTAAATACTTGTCTTTACCACTGGGTTTTGAAAGGAGGTTTCTTAAAAATATCTGTTTTGTGGGATTTGATTCAATGCCTCCTCGAAGCAGGTTAGCAGGAGGTAAAATGGCCTAGAAGCTGGTTTAAGCCCACACAAGTGAAGTTCATTGTATGTGTGTGCAGGGAGCTGGAGGTAGCTTAGGGGTTGGTGCACGTAACACCCCTGCTCTCCTGGTCCCTCCCTGGCTGCCAGCATCCTCCAACTCCTCTGTGGGGTTGTTGATGTGTCTAACCAGGGCTGATGCTGGGAAAATCCCCCCTTTTTCACCCATTTAAATCATGACCTGGGGATAGCATCTTCCTAGCACCAGTGCTGTAGCTATAGGAATATGAAGATATTCCTATAATATATAGTTTATATATAATATAAACTATAATATGACTAACCAGTGCAGTTAGGCTACTGGCACTAACGATTATAATATAAAAAATACTAATAAAAATTCATCTACATGTGTATTATGCAGAGCAGGAAGGGCATGTTACATAAAATGGATTAATGGAAGAAGTTTTTTCCATCTCTTTATTTTTTTGCATAACTGTACAAGAAGAATCGTTCAGCTAATCTGGACTTTGACCATATTAGTGTTCTGCAGCTGAAATAAGATTCCTGTGTTCCTTATTCCATTAGAGCTGGTAGAAAAATGTAAATTGTTATCGGTTGTGGTGTGGGTTTTTTGTTAGATTTTTTTTTTTACAGGAACGTTTTCTTTTAAAGAAATGCAATAAAATGTTTATTTTTAGGATAGGAAAAAGTGAAATAAAATGATGGGTAAATAGTTCTTGTTTTCCAGCTGGATATTTTTGTAGAGCTGTAAAGTCACCGAAATTTTTTAGGGGATGTCATAAACCCATGAAATTCTGACATAAACCAGAACGCTGCTTTTGATGGAAGAACCTTACGATGGGAAGGAAAAAAAAAAAAAATAAATCCCACTGGGAGAGATGGCAAGGGGTGGGAAGCAGGGCTGCTCCCCCACCCTGTGCTGTGCTGACCTGCTGCCTCCAACAGTGCTTGGCGCTCTCCAAGCTGAACGCGGAGGTGGCCTGCATCGCCGTCCATGAGGAGAGCGCCTTCGTGGTGGGCACTGAAAAGGGACGGGTCTTCCTCAGCGCCCGCAAGGAGCTGCAGGCCGACTTCCAGAAGTTCTGCAGTGAGTATCCGCAGCCGTCTCCCCGCGGCGGGGTTGGTGCTCCCCCCATGCCAGCCGTGACTCCTGCTCGGCACGGAGGGGTTGCGGCTTGGGGGGCACCACGGCGCTGTCCGTGGGGCTGAGTGCTGTTTGAAGTGATGGAGAAGATGGGAGGGAACTGCAGCCAGAGCCTCTTCCCTGCCAGGGAGGGCACTGCGTGGTTCCTCTCTCCTAAAGCATCCCTGCAGTGGCTCAGGGCTGCATGGCTGCTCTGCTGCCCTGCTGCTGTTAGCCTCCGGCAGTGCTGCCAGAGCCCTGGAGTATTTCTTGAGGGCTTAGCAGAAATACTTTGTCCTAGTGATCCTCCCAGAAGCAGAAGGGCTTTCTTGGTCCAAGGGTTTTTTCCTGGTTTTGGAAAAACAGGAATGGATTTGGTAGCTGGAAGTGTTGGTCGTGGAGTTGCTTATATTTTTGCGGGATGAGCAGTGGTGACAGGATATCTTGAGCAGGAGCCGTGTTCCCCCAGTCTCAGATCAGATTCACCAAGTATCTGGGGGATACCTGTGTGTTGCAATCCTTCTGTCCCAGCTCTGTACCTCTGCCAGTTTCCAGTGCCTCTGATTTCTTGCTGCCCTCTTAGAAAGATCTGAATTAATCTAAAGCAGACATCACTTGCAGATGTGAGAAGCCTCTTATCTCTCTGGGATTCAGACCTCATCTGAGCACCCTTCCTTATCTGAACCTCTGGTTCTGCCTTTCTTGATACACAGGGGGAATTGACAGTGGACAGAATTAATGTCAGTGGAGGAGGGAGAGGCAGTACCTGGAGGGTGCAGATGCAGGTGCATTTCACAACCTTGGTGAAACACCCCAAAAAAGTTTTCCAGGGCCTGTTTTGCCATGCTGTAGGAGGCATGTGAAGCTTTACAGGGGGCATGGTGACTGTTTGCTTTCCTGTGTCTAGTTCTCTGTGTATCCCACGTTGCTCTTGACCCATTCCCCATGATGTCCCAGCCATGGACTTTCTTCCACAGAAGGATCTATGAGCTCCTTCCTGAGCACCCCAGCAGCATCCAGGGCCGATTGCCAATAGGAGTCTGTCGAGGATGATGAAGGAATTAGTCCTTTGTCACTGAAAATCCCTTGCAAATTACTGTGGATAGAACAGCAATAACGCATTTGTAGTGTTTAATTTTCTGTGCATTTAGAGATGCAAAGAAGTCAATGCCAAAGATATGCTTTATTTGAAGTTTAATGGGGGAAATTAGCAGGAAATAGCTGGTATTACTGAGCTACGTGATGCTGAAGGGTAAAAAAGCCTCCAAGAAAGGCGGATTTTCTTTTCCTGAGATATTGAAGGCTAAGCAGATTGAAACCAAAGACTAGGAATGGACTGCCCAAGTAGTCATTCCTGTTTCAGTCTGGCTGAGTGGGAAAAGCCAGGGAAAAGGGGGTGGGCCCTGGATGAGTGCCCCTGCTGCTGGCACCACTGCCTGTTGCCAGTACCTTTCCCTGCACGTTGGGGGCTGCTGGGATCAACCCAGTGTGATCTCATCCAAGCTGGGGCCTGAGGTGGGTGGGAGATGTGGGACACCTGCCTGCTCACAGCAGTGACTCCTGTTTTCTCCTCTCCCCCCGCAGGAATCCAGCAGAGGAAGGAGCAGGACGCAGAGGTGCAGAAGAAGGCAAAGGAGTGCGGGCAAAGGGTGCTCAGGGTCTCCCCGGACCAGGGATCAGATGTGTACCTCCTCAGGAAGATGGTAGAGGAAGTGTTTGATGTGCTTTATAGTAAGAACCTTCATGCTTCCCTTGGGGGATCTGGAACGTCCCTGGGGCTCACTGAGCTGCCCAGCACTACCACCAGATGTGGTTTTCATCACCAGCCTGGCTCCTCAGCACAGGGCAGGTGCCTGGCAGGGGCAGCACGGTGAAGTGTGCTCCTGTATCAAGTTAGTGCTGCACTGAGATGGGATTTGGCCACTGCTTCTCAGTTCTCCAGTGCCACAAACTGAGTCAAAAAAATCTCTGGGCTGGTTGAAGCATCTTTTGTCTCCCCTGGTCAGGGGAAGCCTCTGTGATGCCCTGAATGTGATTTCCAAGCACACCTTTATCCTTGCCACTGCATCCACAGCACCTCTTTCATAGCACTGTGTTGGAGCTCTGCAGATTCCCTCCCTCTTTTCCCTGGAAAATCTATTTAAAAAGAAAGCAGATGATTTTCTAGCACGCGGCCCTGCAGCCCCAACTTCGAGAGACGAGGTGGTGCCGTTCCAGCACATGCATCATCCTCAGCAATAAAGCTTCTGCAATTAAATATAGATGACCATATGGCTGTTGGTATGGAACCCAGTGGGTTGCAGAGCTCCTTCCAGGCCCAATCTGCAGTGGCTTGAGCAGCAGCAGCACCTTCTTCTCTCTCGAGGATCCACTGGAAGCCCCATGGAGCGGCTGGCAGTAGTGGCCATGCTGCTGGCTCATCCCCTGGCAGCACCTCTAGAGCTGTGCTAGTCAGGGAAGGAAAAGTTACATTGGCTTGGGAAAACAGAGCCCCAGTTATTCCCCCGTGTTGCTGAGCAGGCTGTGTTAGTTCTGCATGATGCTCTGGGGGAGTTCAGGAGTTCTGCACCAGCTGCAGAACTGGGTGTTTGGCTTTTCTGGCTGCAGCTCCCCATCACCATCTGAGATCCAGGGCCTGGTAGAGCCCTGCAGGTCTCCCTGAGTGCAAAGTGCAGGCTTTGCCCCTGTTTGTGATTTGGGAATGGGCATTCCCACACAGCAGAAGGGAGCTACACCAGCTATGCTGGGCTCACATGCAGGAGTTGCTGCTGCTGGCTGTTGCTAGCATCTTCCATAGGCTTCACAGACAGAAAAGGGAGATGGCATCCCTTCTCCCCTGGGACAGACAGTTGCTGAAATTTTCTGAAGCCACTTCAAGGACTTAGAGGCAATATTTTCATTAATGGGAGCAATCAGATCCTATTGCTGCCTTCCAAAGTCTGAGCCCAAAAATGAAGGAAGGGATGATGCAGAAAAACCAAGGGAACAGAATGGAAAGCATGGTTTTTGGTGATGAATTCCTTCTCCAAGGTGCAGGTCTCATTGTCCTGATGGGACAGTGCCAAACTTCGCTGTCCTCTTGGGAATATGTGAATTATTAAAATCTGACATACAATAAATGCATAATTGCGTTAGAAAAGCTTGATCAGGGTGCAGCTGCATGGGGTTTATGAAGCAGGCAGCCCATCCATTGGATGATTAGTAAAGTTCTTTACAGTTTCAAGGTGTATGGAGGTGTGTGGGGACACACCCACAGTGTGGGGAGAAATACACAGGAGACAGTAAGTGCCCCAGTGTGATTCTGTTTGTAACACTGAGAGGACTGTGAGAGTTTAACAATTATGATTCTTAGAGCTTTTTTTTTATCCTTTAATCAATAAGGATTGGAAACAAAAAATCTTTTAAAATGCTCAGAAGTCAAAAAGATTCCCTGCAGAGCTGGATAATCTCTGCACCAACAGGATGACTGATTACCAGTGGCTTCTATTAACCAGGCATTCATGATGATTATTGTCTCTTTAGCCAAACCACAAATCTCTGAAGGTCACCTTGACAATAACACAGTCCCCATAAAAATATGTTTGGGGATTTCTTGAGCATTGGGTTGATCAGGAGCCACTGTGGACATTGGGAGCTTCTCCCAGTCTTGAAGAGAGGTGATGAAGGGAGGTGGAGAGCTGCTAGAGCCAGCACACTGGAGCAGGGAAACTGTTAGCTTGCAGAAAATAAACTCATGGTGTGGTGGTCCAAAGGCTTATTTTAAAACTTTTGTTATTTGCTTAATTAAAATATTATCATTCCTCCCTATAAGAAGCCTGAATGGCTCGTGCAGGTTGCACATTGTTAGTTATAATGCATTCCTTCAAAGGACATGTTGAAGAAATCACTTTTAGTAAGGGCTTGCTGGCAGTGTCACAAGATTTGCAGTATTTCTGTAAGATCTTTTGGTATTGGGTTTCTTTAAGAAGAGAGAAAAAATAAAAGATTGAAAATAAAATCCCTCAACAACTTAAAGGTCCCATAATCTTCTCTGTCTGGAGATGAAGGTGCAGGCACTGTACCATGGCACCAGATGTTCTGCATCTGGACACTGCTTTGCCAGACAGATTGCATTCCTGCATGGTTATTCCTTGTGCTTCATGCTTTCAGCACCATGTTTATTGATCACAATGGCCTGGGTTGGTTTCCAAAGTAATTTTTCCCCAGAGATAGCTTGAGGGTTTTGGCCATTCCTTGAAATCCTTCAGAGCAGGCTGTTTTTCTGATGGTGTTTTGCCTGCAAAGCATAGTAGGGCAGCCTTTGCTTGGGCACACAGGCTCTTTCTCTGCCTTAGAAAATCCCCATATAATGGCAATGTTCACTGCTTGTCTGCTGCTGCCAGGGAAGGGAAAACAATTTGTACCTGACTCTATAGGGAGATTATGGTGTCAGGGGTAAAATGGAGCCAGAGGCACATGGTGGGGACATGGTGGGACTATGTTGCCACTGTTGAGGGGAGCAGGTGAGAGTTCTGGGCTGCTGGAGGTGATTGTGCAGTCAAATGTATCGATGTTCAATCTGTCTGTGAATAGTGGGATGAAGGGAGATTATTGGTTTTGGTTTTTTTTTCCTTGTCTGTCAAAGTGAATCAAAGCTGCTTGACAGCAACAGCAATCAACTGCTTTCCGTTCTTCCAGGAGGTAAAATAAGAAAACTGACTAGAAATGAGGCTCCCAGAATATCTCAGTAAGCATGAGATAAAAATCATTGCGAGCTCCTCTGCCTTCTTTGTCAGCCCTTGGCTCCTTCCCACCTTGCTGACGGCCATGTACCTCACTGGCATATGGCTGGGCACTCCCAGGGGTGGGCTTGTGCCAAGTGACCCCAACTGAGGATTCTGCTGTGAAACCTGAATGATGAGACATCTGCTTATTGGCCTTTATGAGCTTTTTATTAATTAGTGCTTTTAGAAAGGAATTGGAGCGCCTTGCATGCTAAGCGCGAAGGTAGGAATGGGGTTTTTCTCCTAATGATTCTGCTGGTATTTCTTGCTCTTGCACTTACTCCTCCAGCCCAGCTCAGCCACGGTGAGGGGCACAGGGTATTTGTCAGTGTGTAACTCTGTCCCCTCCCCAGGTGAAGCCATGGGGAAGAGCAGCGTGGTCCCTTTGCCGTACGAGAGGTTCCTGAAAGAGCCAGGCTCGCTGGCAGTTACCGGCTTGCCTGAGGGGATCAGCTTTAAGAAACCTCTGGAGTATGATGTGAAATCCCTGATGGCCATCCTGGAGCACAGCCACAGCATCCGCTTCAGGCTAAAAAGGTAATTTTGGGGACCTCCAAGGAGCAAGAGAGCGGCGAGCCCTTGGGGTAGTGTCTCTTCCAACACTGGCACAGGCAGGAGGGTCCCTCCCATGTCCCAGCTTCTCCTCAAGACCCACAAACCTGGGTCCAGCCATGCCAAATCCAGCCTTGCACAGTGATTTGTTCATGCTGGGGGGCTTGAGCCCATTTCAGACTCATTTCTATAAAAAGTGTGTGTAAACACGCACATTAACTGCATCTTTTTATGTGTCTCTGCCAAAATTTCCACTGCGATAAGCTAAGTGCTTTTCTGTCTCCAGAGAGATTTCCAGGGTAAATGCTGCAAGTATCTTCCCAGGCTGAAATGGGTTTTTTAATGCCAGACAAGCAGGGAAGTGGGGGACTGCAGCAGAGCAAACTCCCCCTTTTGGCCACATTTATGCAAGGGGTTCAGTAGTTTTAGGTGCATTTCCCCTGCATTTGCCTGGCTGGCAGCACCTCAGATCCATTCAGGAAAATGCTGAGCATGACCAAATACCTCCTCTAAAGGCTTGATGCTTCTAGAAAATCAGGTTGAGACAGCTAAAAGTAGGACACGCAGAATTTGAGCTGTCTGTGAGCTTGTGGCTCCCTTTCTCATGTGGAGCACATCAGTTTCTTCAGTGTGAAACTCATCCATGGGCTGAGCTCCCCCTTGAATGTGCCATGGGGGGCTGGCACAGGCAATGGAGCCAAGTGATTTGTTCATAAAAGGTTTTACTCTTTAAATGCAAAAATGCCATAGAGATGGGCAGCTTGATCCTAGCTAATAAAGCTCCACTTAACACAGGAGCTGTTTAAGTGCCTGAAGATGCTCAGGAGTTTGAATGATGGATGTAACTTCTGAATCATAGATCAGAGCTATGGAGTGGTTTGTGCTGGAAGGGGCCTGAAAGACTATCTCATTCCAAGCCCCTGCTGTGGGCAGGGATGCCTTCCACTATCCCAGCTTGCTCCAAGCCCCATCCAGCCCAGCCTTGAACACTTCCAGGGATGGGGCAGCCAGAGCTTCTCTGGGCAACCTGTTGCAGGGCCTCACCACCCACACAGGGAAGAACTTCTTCCTAATATCCAATCCAAACCAACCCTCTTTCAGTTTGACGCCGTTCCCCATTGTGCTGTAACCCCCTGCCTTTGCCAAGAGTCCCTTTCCACCTCTCCAGTACCTTTGGAAGGCCAGCATATGTTCTCCCCAGAGCCTTCTTTTCTCCAGGCTGGACAATCTTAACTCTCTCAGCCTTTCCAAATGGGAGAGGTGCTCTAACCCTGTAATCATCTTCATGGCTCTCCTCAGCAAGGAGCCTGGCAGCTGGTGGTGCAGCATGTCCCACCCTCCCAGGCATGGCCCTTCTTCCCCATCCACATCCTTGCTTGTTGCAGCTTAGCAGTGCCATGGGCCCAAAGGAACCTGTTTTTCCCTCCTCTTCTCCCTTCCTTCCCCTCAGGCCAGCAGATGAGCCCAGCCGAGAGCCCAACCCCAACATCGAGTTAACTTGTTCCTCCCTCGCCTCCAAGGGCAGCCGAGACTCTGGTGCCAACGGCCCTGTGGCCAAACCCAGCAGCCAGGATGCCCCCTCGGCCATTGCTATCACCAACTTCCTTTACGGCGTCTCGCTGCCCACCCCTGTCACCATCGACCTCAAGCAGGAGGCGTCCTCGGGGCTGCCTGCGCCGACTGCGGCGGGCGAGGCGCTGCTGGCCCGGCCGGCGGGAGAGCTGAAGGTGCCTTCCTCACAGGAGTACAGCGACTGCTGTGGTAATAGCCTGGAGTTTGCTCTCGCATCAGGGCCTGGTGCTCAGCCCGCCCCTGGCCCTGGTAGGGGGCAGGCTGGGGGTTTTGGTGTTGCTTGGATGAGAAGCAGCGTAGAGCTCGGGCTGTGTGGACGTGAGCAGAGCCCTCGCCGTGCTGCGCTGCCCCAGCCCTTCCCTGGGTGTTGCTGACAGGGCAACACCTCTGTTTTTGCCCCAAAATGACAGGTGCTGCACCACCAGGCCAGAAAGGCAGCCGGAGTGGGGATGGCAGGGGTTGGTCTGGCCAGCACCACACCAGGTGTCACAGGCCAGGGTGCATGGAGGAGAAACAGAAGGGTTGGTGGGGGACAGCACCCAGGGTCCTGTTGTGGTGCCTGGAACACTGCTCAGGCTCTCATCAGCCCTTTCTCCTTGTCTCCCCTCTTGTCCAGGACAGAAATCATCAGTCTCCGGAGGTCCCCTCATCCAGAATGTGCACTCATCCAAGCGCATCCTCTTCTCCATCGTCCATGACAAGACAGGTCTGTGTCCTGCTCCAGCATTAAAGGCAGCTGGCAGCCTTAGGGAAAGGTTTCCCCTCACCACATCTCTCCCCAGCAGTCTCCCAGCCCTCTCCACGCTCTGCAGGGACCTGGCAGTGCTGGAGGCGATGCATCTTGCACTGGAGCCAAGACTTTCATCTCTGCTCTGCTCCATCCCTGCCATTCCACAATGCTGCCAGTGGTCCTTGAGCACTGCTGGCTACCTGGGAATTCCCATCTCTGCTTCCTGCACAGGGAGCCAAGGCATGGCTCAGGGAGAGGCTGCTTGCCCCAGCTGCAAACAGCACATACCTGCTGAAAACTTGGCATTGTTTCAATGACTGAAACCCACTAATCCCAGTGGGATTCTGCAGCAGTGCCTGGGGGGATCAGCAGTAGGGAGGAGACAGGCATTTCCTCACCTCCACTGCACCCAAGGGAAATGCAGCCTGAAAACCCATGCCTGCCTTAAAGAGGAGAAAAAAATATGGGTGGGAAGGTTGGGAAAGAGGAGAAGATGGAAGGGCTGTACCTTTCAAGGGTTCATTCCAGGTGGAGTTGGCTCTGTCCAAGAGGATCTTTAATTCTAGGGCTGAGAAATTTTATGGGGTCATTTCTTAGGAATCTGCTTTGCACATGCCAAGGAGAGTGCTTAGGTTTGGGGTTGGAGAAGCCCAGACCTTATCTGCCAGCCTGGCAAAATTCGCTCAGGAACAGGGAAATAATTTTTGAAGTCTTGTTCCTGCTTCGCAGCATTTTGCAGGAAAAAAGTGCATCTGCTGTGTATGAACCATATGGAAGTTTCTTATTTCTTGTATTTTGTTTTGATAGATAAGTGGGACAGTTTTATAAAAGAAACTGAAGACATCAACACCCTTAGGGAGTGCGTGCAAATTCTTTTTAACAGCAGATATGGTGAGTAGGAGTTAATATCCCATTATGCATCTGCAGTGCTTGTGGATTGCATATCATTATATAGCAATCATTTTTGTTCCCTAACACAGCAGCAGAAGCCATATGCTAGAGCTCCCTGCTCTTCCTAACACATTTAGCTCAGCAGCTCCCAGTCTCCTGAAGGTTATGTCAATATTTCTGTTTGGAGCCCCACACCATTGTCAAGAAATTTATAACTGGGCTGTAAAACAGCCCTGTCTGGGAATGTGGTGTGCTGGATCATAGCACTTGGGCACCAGGAGTGGTGGCATGTGGCCCTTTTACCTACATGTGACAGGTAAAAAGAAGATGGTTGTTGTTGCAGCTGCTTTTTTCTCCATCTGCACGGCTTGCATATGTTGCTGGTGCTCCTTTTGCTGTGGGCAGTGCTTTTGGTATAGCTCCTGGGCATTTTGGCAGGTGGAAGCTTTAGAAATCTCTTGGGGCTGGTGGGCTCTTCAACTGTGCCATCCCCACAGGGCTGTGTAATTCCTGAGTTACAGGTGGGCTGTAGATGTGTGCTGTGTCACCTGTGAGTTGTATATGGGCTTGAGACAAGCCCTTTCATTTGTGATTTATATTTGTGGTGCTGGAGTGTGTCCAAAGGGTAACAGAGCTTAGGAGGAGAGCTGAGGGAGCTGTGGGGGCTCAGCCTGGAGAAAAGGAGGCTCAGGGGGACCTTCCCACTCCCTACTATTAGCTGAAGGAGGTCGTAGCTAGGTGGGACTCAGTTTCTTCTCCCAGGTGATAAGTGATAGAATTAGAGGAAATTGCTTCAAGCTGCTCCAGAGAAGGTTTAAGTTGGACACAGGGGAAAATTTCTTCACTGAAAGGATGGTCAGGTGGTGGCACAGGCTGTCCAGGGTAGTGATGGACTCACCATCCCTTGAAATGTTTGAAAAAGCACATGGACATGGCACTTGGGGACACGTTTGGTGAGCATGGTGCTGCTGGGTTAACAGCTGGAATCAATCTTAGAGGGTTTTTCCAACATTAACAATTTTATGATTCCATGTGCTATGCAGCTTCTGAATCACAGAGCTCACAGACCTGTGGTGGGTCACAAAGAGTTTGGGAATGATATTTGGGCCAGTTCACTCGTGGTTTGAGCATCACTGGGCATGTTTGGGAGTTTTGGGAGCTGTGTTTACTGCTGCTTTCCTTTTTGTCCCATTTCCCATGGGAGAGCTTCTCCTGGGGCTCAGTTTCTGGGACAAGCAGAGAAGAGGGAAGAAAGCATTTGCTCTGCTTCAGTTCAAGCCCCCTTACACCTTTATTTTAGCATCTGTGAAAGACAAAGCACTTGTGTAAATGAAAACCATGTGTTCATCTTTCAGCTGAAGCCTTGGGGTTAGACCACATGGTCCCTGTCCCCTACAGGAAGATTGCCTGTGACCCTGAGGCTGTGGAGATCATTGGCATCCCAGACAAAATACCTTTCAAAAGACCTTGCACCTATGGTGTCCCCAAACTCAAACGGATTCTGGAGGAGAGGCACAACATCCATTTTGTCATCAAAAGGTGGGTGGCAAGGAAAGGTGGAGGTAGTGGATGGCTCAAGGGTGCCAGGGATTTGAGCTGTGCTCCCTCTGTGCTCACAGGGTTTGTTTTGACCCCAAAAACTCATTTTACCCTCTTTCAATAAAGACAGTTGAAAGCTCTTTCCCCCTGCAAACCTCTGGTTTTCATCCCTCTCTCTCTCTTTTTGCAAGGATGTGGCAGAGCTGGCTGTACCATGATCACCCCCAAGCTCTGCCACCCTGTTTTAAGTGATCACTGGCACCAAACTTTGCTGATGTCACCCCAAACATTTAAAGGTGGTTACAGCAACTTTAACAACAAGCAGATTTAGAGGTGCTTTAGTTAAAATGCATATGCCATAAGGTTGCTTGGTTGCACAACAGGCTAAAAGGCATTTTTTTAGCTGAAAAAGTCATTCCCTTTTTTCAAAGAATGAAAAAATTACTAGTTTGACTTGGTTTAATGCTATTCATTAGTTAAACCTCCAATTCAGTCATTAGCAGCATCTATTTCTAATTCTTTTTTTTTCCTTTTCTCCTAGGATGTTTGACGAAAGAATTTTTACAGGTAAGTTCTTCAAATCCTTTGGTTTATTGCCCACAAAATTAAAAGGTTATCCAGAGAAGCAGAGTTGAAATAATGTCACCTGAAAGCAGAGGATGTGCAGGACATAGGCAGTTATGCTCAGTAAGGAGGGGCCTTGTCTGTGCCCTACACCAGGACATTGCCTTTGCCTGGTGTCAGTGCAAGCTCTGTTCTCTCCTTAAAAATTGAGTTTTGAAGGCTTAATCGAGAATTTCTGGTGTGTGAGGCTCCTGAATCAGGCTGAGCCACAATACAGGCAGTACATGGTATATATCTGTAATTTCAAGAGGAAGAAAATCACTGCTGTGTTCCTCACTGGTAAATTATTCCTTTTTTTATTTTTTTCTTTTTTTTCTATTGGGAAGTGGTGGCATCATACAGCTGCTAACCAATTTTTTTTAAAAATAACTAAAGTCCATTTTTTCAGTGACAAAATGGTGAGGAGGGAGTTCTTTGACTTTCTTTTCTCTTTGTTTTTACTCCTTTTTCCTCTGAGCTGGAGAAGCCACACTAATTCTTTAGTGTGAGGGTGGTCAGGCCCTGGCACAGGTTGCCCAGAGAAGCTGCAGCTGCCCCATCCCTGGAATTGTTCAAGGCCAGGTTGGACAGGGCTTGGAGCGATCTGGGATTGTGGAAGGTGTCCCTGCCCATGGCAGGGGGTGGAATGAGATGGGCTTTAAGGTCTCTTTCAACCCAAACCATTCTTTGACTCCAAGTGCTTCTTGGCAGATACAAGGAGACAGGTGCCCATGCTGTGAGACTCCAGCAGTGCCCTCACCCATCACTCATACACACCTGGAATATGGCATTGCATCCAAATTTATCGCTCCTGGGTCCTGGATTGCCTGGGCTTGGCTCACAAGTAAAGACATGTTTTGGGGTGGTGGTTTGGTTTCCCCTGAGCTGCCAGCTGCATGTGCTGGTAGCTCTCCGGACACCTTCTTCCCAGATACCTCTGCCAGCCAGATTGTCACTCTGGCCCACGACAGCCCCAGCCCTAAAAGTGCTTCCTGAGCATGATGACACCCAAAGGGGACCTCCAGCAGAACCTGGAGCGGGTCCCACCTACATGATGGGAGATTTCTTTGTCTAAATCCGTTAATGGCTTTTTTTCCCCTCAAGAAAAGGATTTCTTTAAGCTGTAGCCCATCCCCAGGGGATGGAGCACTGAAGTGTGTTTTGGGGTGCTTGGATTTTCCTTGTGTGATGGCTGCACGGTGTCTGGGGGAGGCATCGTGTGCATCTGCACATCAGCTCCAGAGCTGCTGGTGGAGACCACTGTGCTATCAGCTCGTGGATTACGTGGTAGGGAGGTGCAAGTGGATATTCAGAGATGAGAAAGCAAACCCAGCAGAACTGAGGTGGGTGACAGGTCCCACTCTCCTGACAGGTCCCTGCAGGGCTACCAGAAGCAAAACCCATTAAACCTGGATCTCTGTGGTTTGCGTCAGCACATCAGCTTGTGCAAAAAAAACCCTCATCTGCTGAGTCAGGAGGTGCCATTTCTGCAAAGACATTATTTTCTGAGTGGAGCTGTATTTTAAGTTGCCATTTGCAAAGTATCCCAAAGCTTCCCCATAAAGTTTTGCTCACCCTTTAATTAAAATACCCACCACTGCTCGGAAACCTATTTTTGTTACTCCCCTGGGTAGCGGCTTCAGGCAGGCTCTGCTGGTGTAAGAACAAGATTTGGTTCATAGAAAGCACAAATTAAAAGGAGCCTTTTGGACTGTCAGTAGATAAATAGTGTCTTTAAGGTTCTGTATTTCTGCTGATCCTATTGCCAGAGCCCTGCCCTTTTTGCAGGCTGGAACAAAAAGGAAAGTGGCATCAGGTTTCTATAGATGGAATATGTTTTAGAAGGGTGAGGATATTGTGATGGTGCTTTGAGACCAGCAAAGGGCCTTTGACAACAGCTGTTTAACAAGACACCTTGTGGTTTCTGCAGCCTCACGATGTAGTCTATCTCCCTCCTTCCCCCAGCCCTCATTCTTCAGCTCTTTGCTCACCTTCCCTGCCTGTTTTTATTTCCTACTCTGCCTTCAGATTACTCTTCCCATCTCCAAGGTCATTGCTGAGGTTTCATTTAAGCTTCTTTCAGGCTGCTGAGGAATAGGGAAGGGAGAGAGGAAGTTTTTCATGGTGGCAGAATGCTTCTGTCCCTCTCTGTGTCTCTGGGACAGAGACTTCTGCTGCTTGGAGCTGTGAGACAGGGCTGCCTGTGTCTCTGCTACTCTGTGTTTTGCCAAGCTCACATCCAGTGCAGCACATCCCCTCCCTTGGGACAGGGCTCTCCCCACCTTGGGGCTTGCTCCTACAGCAGTAATCCGTGGCCCTGGCTTTTCTGGCCTTTGTCCCTACCTCTTGGAATCCTTGTCCTGTCAGCCAGCCCTTTCTGGAGATGCTCTTTCCTGGCAGGGCTTCCCAGCACACACATAATTATGGAGAAGTTTAAGCAAATGTCTTGCTAGTATTTTAACATGTGAACCCAATGGACTCGGCATCCCTGTCTTTGCAAGCAGGTGACACATGAAAACCTCCTCCCTCACCCTGACCTCAGCTCTGGGACTAGGAGGGGAACAAGCTGCAACATTGGCATCTCCACTTGCTAATCCTGGTTTTGTTTTTCTCCCAAAACCCCCCCATGCAACAGGAAGCAAATTTACCAAAGATCCAACCAAGCTGGAGCCCTCCAGCCCTCCCCGGGAGATCTCCCCTGAGCCTCACCGTGGGGCCATGCTGGAACTGGTGGGGACCTCTCAGGCCAGCAGCAGGTAAGTGGGACTTCTGTCCCTGTTCCCTGTAAAGGGACATCCCTCAGACAGTTATTTTGGGGCTATCAATGTGCACAGCAGATTACTGATGAATGTCCTGTGGGTGCAGGAGGGTGCCATGAGTGTGGTTCAGTAAGCTGGAGCATCAGGGAGATGTTGTAAGTCCATGATGGGAAGGTGAGTGGCTAAATTGGTGTTGCTTTCCTGCCTCCCTCAAATACCACTGCAACAGGAGGAGGCCAAGCAGCCCCATCTTTATGCAAGCCAAAAGTTTGGAATCATTAATTTTGAGCAAAACTGATGGAATGAGGGCCATGCTGGAACTGTCTCTGGTGTTAATGCATGACCTGAAGGTTCACCCTCAGCCCACGCAGCAACACCATCCTGCTAATTAAGTGTTGCTTGTTTAGAAAGCTCACAGGGAGCCTAGCAGTGCTTTTATTAAAGGTGGGGTTATACAGTCCAGCAGGGCAGGAGGTTTTATGTGAGAGTACCTGTTTCTGTTACAACTGTGCCATGAGCTAGACAGGTTGCTGGCAGCACTTGTGGAGCATAAATCACATAGCATACAGCTTTCCAACCCAGACTGGGAGATCCAGGAGGTGTTTTTCTCTTTATAGCCCCAGTTTCCTTCATTCTTGATTCAGTGGAAGCAAGGTGTAATTTAGCCTTTAAAATCACATTGAGGAAGAGAGGCAGGGCAGCAGTTTATAGCACTGTGAACTGCTGTAAGACAAGGAACCTTCTCCCAGCCTTGCTTCACACAAATGGAGTGAAGAATGCTCCTCAGCTTCTCTGGCACAAAGCCTCAGTGCCCAGCACTGACAGCTCCAGCAGCTGGGGTTTCAGACAGTGCTGTGTGTTTGCTAACCTGTGCAGGTCAGGATGGGGAAATAAAGTAACTTGGCTTTGTCCCATCCATGACATTTCTTGGGTTCCTTTCCTTTCTTGGCTCTTGGATGACATGAACCTGTGACAGGCTGGAGTCTCTCTTGGTTCTCCCCAGTGCTGTTTGAGGTTTGTCCCCTTGGATGTGGCTGCTGCATGCCCCTAAAGCATGGCCAGGACAGCAGAACCTGCAGCATTAGAGCAGGCAATGAGCAACCCTGGCAATATGGTCAGTACTCAAATATCACAGCTTTGGAGGGCAGAGACCTCTTGAGCTGCCCAGTCTGCAGGGCTGGCTTTTGTCTCCAGCTTTCTGGAGATTTTCAGTTTCAAAGGAGGGCTTGTGGGAGATTGTTTCTTTTACTTTCTGCAAATGAGGAACCTCTGTGCCTTGGTAGGAGTGTTTCCATAGGAATGGTTCCCCCAGGTCAGAGTCCTGCTCCAGGGGAAGTGCAGTGTCCAAAACTCCAGGAGAAAGGCCAGACACGTGTAGGTGTAATGCACTCCCCCAGAAAAGCCCTCCCCCCACATTGCCTTGGTGAAAGGTTTACTTTGACCTGAAGCAGGAGAGTTTAAAACCCTTCCCAAGACTCCCAGCTAGTAAATACAGAACCTTCTAGACCAATGATCCTTTTGGCCTTTCCACATTTAGGAAGAACGTTTCAAGAGCACTCCTGGCTTGTTTTGTGGTTTGTTCTGCTGATGCTCCTGAGTGGATTTAGGCAAACAAGTGCTTTTGAATATCCCTCCTGAGCCAACAGGCACTGGCTCAGAAGGATTTTCCTTCCCCCTGAAGGACCAGCATCGTGGAGGAGTGTATTTTCCAGAGTGGCTCCTTGGGTCCCTTACTGTCAGAGAGTTGTCCTTGTTCAGGAGACAGACAAGAAAGCACATGCATCCTGAGGATGCAAAATAATCTCATTTGGATGCAGAACAACTTGTGTAAATTCCTGAGCATGTGAAGTTGACTGTAGATGGGAATTTGGGATAGTGCCCAGTTTTCAGAGAAGAAAAGCTTTGAACAGAATAAATATTTACCAAATCAATTGATTTTTCCTTTCTCCCTATTTTTTTTTACCTCCACAAGTAACCACACTGTAGTCATATTTATGCACTGCTCTCTGTCGCAAAGGGATGGAGCCAAGGAAGTTTTGGTCTTAAAAACATCCTCTCTTGTTTTCAGGAGCTCTCTGCAGCAGTTCTATCTGTGGGTGTCTAGAGGCAGGGCTGCCATCAGCAAGGGTGCAGGACCAGGGTGGGTTTGAGAGCAGAGCTCATTTGCAGAGAAACTCGCAATAATCAGATGTTCTGCCACTGCTGGGACCATGGGGGACCCTGTAGTGACCCTGGGGACCCCTCCTGTAGCTCCTGCAGCCCTCTGTGATATCAGGCAACATTTCTCCTTCCTGCCTCAGTCACTCCACACACCTCTGGGTTTTAAGCTCTCTCTTTCCTTACACCATGACCACCTTTCTTGTCTGCCTTTCCCTTTCAGGTCTGAGAAGTGTAATGTTTCTGAAGGCTGTGAACCAGGTGAGGAATAATTCATTTTCTCTTGCAAGACAGTGTTATGGAGGGCACACTAGAGAAACATGCCTGCAAAGTAATTTGAATATGTGACATTAGTTGCCTGGTTGTGCCACAGTACAGTTCTCTGAGGACTTTATCCACATTTGAATGATGCAGAGATGAAGGCTCTTACCCTCTGACCCTCCAGCTGGGGCCTAAAAACACATAAATTGAAATAATGAGACGTAAGCAAGTGGTTAAATGCAAAGCTAAGGGAAGTCTTCACTCTCTGAGTTCCTTTGAAAGTCACCACTGAGAAGTCAGCAGTGCAGATATTCCAAGCAGCATGAATGAAAATGCTTTTCCACAGGTTTAGGGGCTTGGAGCCATTGAAACACACACCAAGCCGTGCTGTCTTGCCTTTCCAAGCTGCAGTGGGACTCAACACCTTGTAGTGGATCTATCCCACCCTAAGTGAGGACATTTATCTTGAGAAAAGAGGAAACTGGGCTGAGGACTGTGGGCAGCCTCTTCCTGGGGCAGCTGGTCAGCACAGGCTTTCGTCTGCTGGGGTTGAAACCACACTGAATTTTGCCAGGGTTCAGCTGGTCTCATCTTGGTGTGATGCAGCTTCAGTCAGCCCTCTCAGAGTAGGGGCATGAGATTGGGAGCATTAAAATTGCCAGGAGACAGCTCCTCCAGTGTCCCCACCAACACCTATTGGTGGCCCAGTTAATTTTAAGTGAAGAAAGCCAGGAAATGAGCATTTAACAAAGTCCAGCTGCCAGCTCAAGGGCACCAACAGCTCCTGCCAGCCAAGCTGTTTGCAGAAGCCATGCCCACAGGTGTCCCTTGGGGTACCTGCATGCTGTGGGCTTGATGCTGCTGGGCCACTTGACTGAAGCCTTGTTGCTGTGGCAAGCTCAGCTGGTCCTGAAGCCCCAGCTGGTCACGCTTTCCCTGTGAAAGATGGGTGCTGTGCTGGGCAGATACGGCATTGCTGGATCCTGTTGGCGACTGCCTTCCGTTGCCTCTCCCCATAGGTACCTCAGGAGAGCTAGGTGGGATCAGGCAGATCAAAGTCGAACCAGACGAGCTGAACATCATCCAGATCACCGTACCAGGTAGCTGCTGGGGTACCATCTGTGTGCAGTGGCAGGGTTGCCACCTCATGTTTCAGCGTTTTGCTTTGAGAAGAGGAGTTTGCAGGGTATTTCCCAGCATTTAAGGGTCCCTCACATAGCTGCAGTGGCCTTCCTTAGCTGACATAGGAACGTACTGCAGTTTCCTGAGAGCATTGGAAGGTGTTTTAGGGCTCTTTGTTGTTTTTCTCTCTCCTTCATTGCTTTCCTATCTTGCCTTTCCCCTGGAGAAAGCGAGCCTGGTTTGCTGCTTTGCTTCATGTGGAGGATCCCAGGTATTGAGTACAGGGTGCTTTTTGAGAGGTCCTTCATTTACAAAACCAGCCTGGTTCATAAAAACAGGTCTAACAGTAGGCAAGTTTAATATCAAGCACGTGCTGAAAATGTGTTGTTGTTGATGCTGATGGGGGAAATTGCCCACGTTTCTGTCCAGAGAGATCAGTGAGAATGGGTTGTGATGGAGATGACATGCCTGAGGGGCAGCTGGGTCAGTTTGCCACTTACCTGTCCTGGACAGTGCAGGAAATGATGATCCTCAGGGTTTAATGAATGGATTGTTAGCAGTTTGCATTTTCATTGTGCTTTACAACCATGAATTAATAAGCTCCACAGAATGAGGGCAGCAGCAGAACTCTGACATTCCTGAGGGTGAGTGATTGTGGGGACAGCAGTGACACCAGGCCCCACCACACCAGAGCAATCTCAAATTGTAGCAGTCCCCTTAGTAAGGCAATAGTTGAGGAGTCACTCCAGGATTGTAGAATAGACTGATCTGTGGCTACTACAGGGGAAGGAGAAGGAACAAGCCATAGTGGTAGAGCAAACATTTTCTTTTTTAACTTGGCAGCTGATGGAAGAGAAGAAAGTTGATACGTGGTAAGCTGAAGGTCCATGGGAGGAGTGGGAAAAAATACCACTTGTCCAGTGCCAGGGGGATCATGCCTCAAGTCCAGAGTCCCCCTTTTCTTGCCTTATTTGAAGATCAAATTCAATAAGAGGGAATACAGCTGAAGGCAAGGAGGAGGATTAATAGAAAAGTGGTGCTCACCTACAGGGAGAAATTGGTGAAATTGGGATTATTTGTCCTGCGAGGTCAGAAGTGACCTGGTTGAAGTATATAAACTAGCTGAAACTTCATTTAAAGCTGAATTGGGATGGGTCTTTGAGGGCATTAGACAGCCTAGCATTTGGAGTGGCAAGTTTAATGTAAAGGAAACAAAAAGAGGGTTGATTTTGTTGAGGAAGGCAGCATTAATGGAACCTTTTCCCCCCATGTAGTAGCTAAATCAAGCAGCATTAGCTTTTTAAGTCAAAATTGAGTGTCTAGATGGAATTAAGCCAAGTAAATAATTTGAACTAGGTTTGCTCTTCATCTTCAGTGGAGGTTAGGAAGAGATTTTTGCTTCTTTCCCTCAGACCCAGAGGTCAGGTGTGTGTCAGGGATGAGCTCTGGATGGTTCTGGGAGGAAGAAGGCATCCCCAGAGCATCTCCTGGCGATATATGGGGTTCCTGGGAGCTGGGGGGCCCTTTGCTCAGTCCTTTCTGGTAGCTGGGACCCTCTGAACACTGTTTTGGGGACTGTTTTGGTGTCCTGCTGGCTTCAGAACAAAAGGTGCCCGTGGGTTTTTGTCTGCAGACCGATCACCTGGTTCGGTTGAGATGCACGAGCCGGTGCCCGCGCAGGCGGCCTCGGATGAGTCGAGATACATCCTGGAAACAGTAGCAGGTACCAGAAGGGACACTGCACGGTAGGATGGGTGTTCATGCATGTGTCAAAAATGAGGAAATACCATTTATGGTCCAAAGTGGTGGAGTTTGAGACCCAGTTCCAGAGTCTTGGCCTCAAAGAGGCCAGCTGGGAGCTCTGATAGACTGTAACTGGTGGGTTTTCTGGCACTGCTGCTCCTTCCCATCCTCTCTTCAGCTCCAGCGTGCTACAAACCCAAGCCCTTTTGCCCAGTGCACACTGGAGTTGACCCGTGGGATGTCCCAGTGGCTGCCCTTGCTCCTGCAGGCTCTCTCCTCTCCCAGGGAGCTCATGCTGAGGTGTGGGCAGCCCTCGTGTATGGAAGCACTGGGTTTATTCTGCCAGTGCAGCTCTTGGCATGCTGCTACCAGCCCAGCCCTGCTGGGACATGTGCTCAGAGCTTATTGAGGGGAGGGAGCACTGAGGTGGCTGCAGGGCACCTGGAGAGCTCCTGCTTGTCTTGTCTGGTTTTTCTGGTGCCTGCTGCTGCTAACCTCCTCCTTCCCTTCTTCTTCCTCAGCAGAGACAGAGAAGGGGTCCAGTGAGGAGCCTCGACACGAAGAAAAGCAGATGGAGGGATCAGGTGAGTGTATGGTGAACTCTGAGCATCGCCCATCATTGCAGGTTTTTGGAAGGATGGATGCACACAGTTGTATTTTAAGTTGGGTTTTGTGAGCTTCCTGCAAAGCCATTAGCTTTTAGCCTTTGGCCTCTAAAACCTCTGCCCACAGGACACCATTGTGTTCCTGGGCTCTGTCCTCTCCTCCTGTGCTTGAATTTACTTTTCCTTCTATTTTTTTTTTCTTTTGCTCCTGACTGCCAGCATGGCTCTGTGGCAGGTGCATCCTTGCCCTTCCTTGTTAGGAGATGGTTTTGGAGGCCACTGTCAGAGGACTGGCACTGATTTGAGGGCATGGAGAGTGAATGGCTGTCTCTGCCAGAGGTCAGGCAGGGGCTGCTCACCTGCACAGTGCTTGAACTGGAAGCAGCTGGCTGCTCAGAGCATTTCCCTGTATTGTTGTTTAGTTTGTTTTGTTGTTTTGTTGTTTTGCAGATGGTATAGGGGACATTTTAAGTCATTTGAGGAAACAAGTTGAAATTTTGTTCAACTCACGATACGGTAAGAAGGTCATTAACACATCTTCCTCATGCCAGGTGCTGGCTTTGTCACCAGCCATTTCCAAACCAGCAGCTGAGTGAAGGTGCAATCTAATTTGTTCATCTGCTATCTGCTGGGCTCACAAATGCATTCAAAACCTCCTCCAGCCTTGTTACTGCAGCTCTTCCCCTTGGTTTCCTCAAAGTTATTTGATGGCTGCAGCCCAGGAGTTGCTGCCCTGACCTTCAGCCTCCATGCTGCAGAGGGATGCCCAAAGTGGTTCCCCCATCACTTGTCTGAAGTCTCAGAGAGTGTTTTCCACCCACAGTCATCACTGCATGGCTCAGGAAGGCTGGTGGCACCTTGGTGGTGGGGGCTGGCACTCAGCATGCTCTGCTCACCCCTACTTAGAGAGGTTATTTAACTGAGAAGAAACACAAGTGAGGCCACAGATCCATTTTGAGAGCTGGCAGACAGTTTTGACACTTCTAGGACCAGGAAATGTGACAATCCTCAAAAGCCAGGGGCAAAGCTGAGCTGGTAGAGCCCATAATGATGAGGGAGAGGAGATGAGCCAGGATGCTCTCAGGCAGGGCTGGGCACTGGGGATGCAGCTGGAACAGCCATTGGAGCTATGGCTATCACTGCTCCTCGTGTTGCTATAGTAACAGGCTGGGAGTCATCATCCACACTGGTGAGGTGGGGTTTTAACCTTGTCATGGTTTGACACTGCCCCAACACCAGGGACCCACAAAAGTTGTTCACTTACTTTTTCTGTTACAGTTGGGCAGAGGAGAGGGGAAAAAAAAATCAACAAAGGGCTCATGAGTTGAGATAAGGACTGGGAGAAAACACTCTAAGGGCAAAACAGATTTAAATTTAAAGGTATAAAGTAAATTTATCATTAACAGAGTCAGAGGAGGATAATGAGAAGTAAAATAAGCCTTTAAAACATCTTTTTCCCCCTCCCTCTTTCCCACCAATAGTGCAGGGAGACAGGGCGTGAGGGTCTTGGTCAGTTTGTCATTCAAGATCTTTTTCTGACACCTGAAGTGCCTCCTTCCCCTCTTTCTTTCCCACTGACCTTGGTGCTGCCATGTTGTTTTCCCTCACATGTCCTCACTGCCTCTTCTTCTCTGACTAGAAGAAAAACCACTGCTCATAGGTACTATTGCCAACAAGTTCCACCAATTCAAAGATTTTGTCAAGATCCCACAGTGTCATCACAGAGGTGTTATTGACCTCTCTAACTGACCCTGTAGCAAGCCCATCTTCAGAGACATCAGAGGCTGGCTCTGTCAGACATGGTGGGAGCTTCTAGCATCTTCTCAAAGAAGCCACTTCTGTGGCCTTCCCCTGCTACCAAAAACCAGGCTGTGCCAAATCAACACAAACCTGTTTTTCCATCTGTCCAAACAGCACTGCTTGGCATTGGCTGTTTGGTTGCTTTTGGCAGTATTTAGCAGAGCAAGGGGAGTTCTCACCATGCTGGGCTGTACAGGCTGATGGGGCACCCCCAGGCACATTCCCTGTCCCCTCACTCAGCAGAAGGGTTTCTGTGGGGGTCTGGATGTGGGGTTCCATTGCGCTGTGGAGAGATGCTTGCAGCCTCTATAGGAAGGCAGGCTGTGATAACGTAGCAAAAGCCAGTTCCAGGTGGCTGCATGGCTCTGTCCCTCATCTCACCTCTGCCAGTGTCAGGGACATCCCCATGAGGCACAGAGCGACCACAAAGTCCCCAAAAACCTCTTCAATCCCTCCAGCAGCATTCCATGTTGCTGTTGCTTAGACCTGACATGGAGATCCAGCAAACTAATGAGATTGGGTCCCTATGCAGCGAAAGCCATAGGAATATCAGAGCCAGTCAAAGTCCCCTACTCCAAGTTCCTGATGTACCCTGAGGACCTCTTTGTTGTGGGCTTGCCTGAAGGCATCCTGTTGCGCCGCCCCAACTGCTTCGGGATTGCAAAGCTGAAGAAGATCCTGCAAGCGAGCAACAACATCCAGTTTGTCATTAAAAGGTAAGGCAGGTGGGGTGGCTGTCCTTTGGGGAGGGGTGTTTCTGCTCAGAGCTCCTGCTGCTGTGCAGTGTCCTGGGGAGCTCCCATCTCATGGTCAGCTTCAATAAAATTCCGTGATTAGATGAGGATGAGGGTTGTTGCCTTTGTTGGAGCCATCTGTGGGAGGCAGCAATGGTGTTGTCATCTGTCCCTTCATGTCTTTTGCATTTTTAACCAGCTTTTGCAAAGGTTTGGCCACCTCAGCAGGATGGGTGGGGAGGTCTTTACACTTCAGGGTGCTCTGATGTGGAGCAAGGACAGGGGCTGGGAGCCCTGGAGGGTTTTCCTACAGAAAGTGTCTCCAGCTGAGGTCCAGATGTGCATTGTGCCCATGGGATACTGCAGACATGAGGAAAGATGCTGACCCCCTGCTGGGGAGTGAGGGTGTCATAAGAACTGTAGGAGGACTGTGAAAAGCCACAACCAATGTAATGCAATAGCATTGCCCTGAAAGAGGGAAGACATTCAGCAGAGATGGATTTTAAGACATTTTAGGTATTTTTGGGGCAGTTTCTCACCCAAATGCTGGCACAGCCAGTGCTGCAGGTGACTGAAATAGAAAATAAATATTGGGAGTGTGGAGATTTTGTGGTGTGAGCACAGCAGCTCTCTGGTCAGCCCAACCAGGGTTGGGGTTTCCTTGTGTCCTGATCTCAGATCCATTCCTTTGTGACACAGCTTCAGTGCACCTTGTTAACAAGCCTTACCATCACCTCAATATGCAGCTTTAGTATTAGGTACCCAAATGGCAGTTTTTGGGGTCAATTTTATGTTGAAAGAAGCCATGCATAGCTTCTCCCATCCCTAAGAAACGTTCAGGACCATATCTGCTAAAAGTCATAGCTGCTGACTTGAGCTGCTCAGTCATCACCTGCTTAATCTCATCCCAAGGAGCGACACATCAGCTCATTAAAGAGTCTGTCAGCATGAAAACTGTGTCCAAAGTTCTCCCAGTGTGTTGCAGGAGCTTTTAAATGGCATTAGGCAGGCAGAGTGAATGGTTTGAGGCTGTAGGAGTGGTGTTCTGAGGATGCTGGAGCAGCAGGTTGTCGCTGGCAGAGAGGTCACTCACATGTCTCTGCTTCTCCCTGTTTTCCAGACCGGAGCTGCTGGCAGAGGGTGTAAAGGAGTCGGTGTCAGACAGCCCAGCAGCCAAAGGTAGGCTGAAAGACACCCAGCAGCTGGGCTGCTAAGGTCTAGGTAGGAGAGGAATGAGAGTGGTTTCCTACAGCCTTCCCTCCCCACCTTGTTTTTTGGCTGGAATCCCCTTGCCATGCATCCCCCCTGGCAGCACTGTGAATCCTAATTCCTCTTCTGTCCCCTGTCTCAGCCGCCGACGAGAGGGACTCGAGCGAGGTGCTGCTGGAGGACGCTGTGAAGAGACAGGGCTTTCAAGGTGTGGGGCTGGAGGCAAATGTGGGGCTGAGGCAGAGCCCCTGGCCCTCTCTGGAGGCTGCATGGGACGTGGGAAGGGAGTACCGCAGGTGTTGGGGCTCGGTGGGTCGGCAGAGGAGCGAGACAAGGCTGGGAAGGAGGAAAAGAGGTGGGATGAGAGGCTGGAAAGCACAGGTAACTAGAAGACAAGATGCACAGCCAGGACAGGCAGTCCCACAGGTCCAGGAAGAGGCTTGAATTGCTCTGCATGGTGCCCTAATTAACCAACTTGGCTTATCTCCCTGTCTGACCTTGTGAGGTGCATAATTAACTTTCCAAGCCTTGGGGTTTGCCTTTTCTGGGGCTTTTTCCACCTGTGTGATGTTTGGATAAATTCCACTCGGCAGCAGCGTGGTGGCTCCCCTGGGGGACACAGTGATGGTGAGAAGCCTTTGGGCTGGACAGGCAAGTGCTACCCTGCTCAGGCATCTCTTGTTGGGCCCTGAGGGCCTGTGAGGGTTTGCACAAGGATGGGGAGCTTTTTCAAAGCCTTTGGCTTTTCTGAGAGGCTTTGGAGTGTGTGTTATATTTTAATGCCAGTAATTATCTCAACTGAATCTTTGATTTCACGTGGCTTTTATTCTTAGCAAACAGGCGAGGGAAAAATAACCCAACATATTTCTGTTTAGATTATTTTTAAGGACTTTGAATGACCCACTCCACAGATTAGCTAATTGCAAGATAAGGGCTTTCCTATAATTAGAAAATGGCATTACTTAAAAGTCACAGAGTGCCTTTTAATATACCAGCAGAAATCTATAATTGTTTCTTTATTTTACAGAAAATTATGATGCCAGGCTTTCCAGAATAGACATTGCTAATACACTGCGGGAACAAGTCCAGGACCTGTTCAATAAGAAATATGGTGAGAAACCAGGCTTGTTTTATTCCCCCCCTTACTCCCTCCTAATTTTTTGCTTTTTATCTCTCCCTTCTGCTCCTGATTCCTTCTTGCCAGGTACTTTCTCTCATCTCCCCCTTGTGCTGCTGGTACTTTGGAGGGCCAGGAGGGAATGGCAGATCTGGGATTCGGCGCTGTTTGCTGCAGGAGCTGTGGGAGGTTGGGAAGGGAATAGGAAGGGGTTGAAGCAAGCACTGGGGGACAGGAAGATGCTGCTCCTCCTGTTCCTAGAGCAGGGAAATGCTATTATCCCCATGTTGTGGTTTAGGAATGTTACACCTCAACTTAGTGTTCTCACTGAAGCGCTGCAAACCGTGCCCTGCTCGTTCACTTGTCCTTCTCCCACTCCCTCCCCTTGTGGTGGGTTGGAGAGGAGACTTGGAGGCACAAAAATCATGTACTGAGATATGAGTTTGCTGGAAACAGCAATGAAATAAGAAAACAAACAGTAACAGCAGCATTATTAATAACAGAGGGAACCAGTGCTGCCTGGCCTCTCCCTCTGCCACACTTACTTGACCAGGAGGGACCCCTTCCCTCATTCCTGGAAAATGATGTGAGGTAATAAAGAATAAACTCTTGCTCCCAGCCTTGCCCTCTCCTGGCTACTCAAAAATTAACCCTGTCCTGGCCACACCATTTTCTAGGCAGGGTTAAGACTTGTCCAGGTACTTGCAGGGAAATATGTAGCCTCAATCCCACAGCCAGGCCTAAGAGAGGGAACATACCTGTGGAGTTATCTCCAAATAACATCCCAAAGCAAAGAGCAGCAGCTTTCCATCCCTCCCACTACACTGCATGGGCAGGATGGTGCATCTCCTTGGACCCATGAGCTCTGCTGCACACGTGTGCCTGTATTTGGACCCCTCCACTGCTGTCATGGAGGCAGCCTGAGGATGTTGGTCCTTGGTCTAATGCTGACCTGGTGCCTCGAGCAGCGTGCCCACACTGCTGTGCCTTGGTAGGGCTGGGGATAAAACCAGAGCTGCAGCAGAAATGGCATCCCTGGCATCCTGCACACTCACTGCTTAATTACCACTCACTTCTCTCCTAGGTGAGGCCTTGGGGATTAAATACCCTGTGCAAGTGCCATACAAGCGCATTAAGAGCAATCCAGGGTCGGTGATTATCGAGGGACTGCCTCCTGGGATCCCCTTCAGGAAGCCCTGCACCTTTGGCTCCCAAAACCTGGAGAGGATCCTGGCCGTCGCTGATAAAATCAAGTTCACTGTGACACGGTATGTGGTGTCAGCCACCCTGTGGAGCCAGAGAGGGGCTGAGGAGGGAGCTAAATGCACTCCCTGCTCTGCAGCCCCACTGGGACAGGTCTGTAAATGCCTCCAGTCCCCCAAGACAGCAGTAAGGTGGCAGCTAATGGTTCATCAGAAAGGAGGGGATCATAAAATAAAATACCCACTTCTGCTTTCTTCCCATCCACTGCCTGAGGAGATGATGGGGAAGGCAGTGGCAGGAATAAAACGTGCTTGGTGTGATTGATCTCCAGGCAGAGAAATCCCTGCCCCTTCTTTAGGAGGCTTGAGACAGATTATTGCTGATGCAGGGCAGTGCTCAGAGCCCTTCTGTGCTTTAGCACCCCCTGCTCGTGGCAAGGTCCTCTGCATTTCACAGCCTAAAACAGGGATGGACACAAGTGGGAAGGGAAGGAAAAGCATTTTGGCTGTGTATCACACTAAGGTGAGTCAGGAAAATAATGGCCTTAAGAGTGGCTCCATCACCCTCTCGCTGGACCACGTTGTTTGTCTTCTGTCACTGGGGCTTGAGGTACATCATGCTGCTCCTGTTGGTCCCACATGAGTTGTGTGAAGGACAGGCTGATCCCCAGCCTTCCTTGGGCCATGGGAGGGTGTTCAGCCCAGACATGCTTGCTTCCTGCTACCATTTCATTTTAAATCTCCTTTTTTCCTTATTTTTTCACAGGCCTTTTCAAGGACTCATCCCCAAACCTGGTAAGAGATGATACCTTTTTGCCTAAGCAATGCATTGGCTCTGTGTTTAGTGGTGGTCAAGGAGTTGTAAACTGTGGATGGCAAGCAATAATTTTATCAGCTGGAGGAAAGTTGTTCTGACTTCACTTTCCTGGGCTTCCCACTTTGATTTTGCTGTTGTTTGTGCATTTGTTGCCTGAGACAGTTGGCCTCAGCATCACTCATCAGTACTGCTGCTGTTGCCTTGAAATGATGGCAGTTTTCAAGAGCTAATCTGGGGCAGAGATCTGTTTTCTGCATTTAAGAAAACACCCACTTTCTTAGGTGTTTTCTTAAAATAAATCTGTGTTGTAATGAGCTGGTGGGTTGGGTGGTGAGAGAAGGGGTGATTAAACACAGGGGTCCATGTTGGGCTGTAGCAGCATGGCAGTGGAGCTCCACTCCAGCTCGTGAACATTCCACAGGCAGATACACCAGGGAAGGCATGGCAGAGGAGAGGAGAGGAGGGTGTCCAGGGTGCACTCCTTACACAGCTGCTCAAATCTTCATCCCAGAGCCCTGTCCTTCACTGTGAGTCCCTGCAGTAGCTGTCTCTCATTTCTTGGCTGCTCAGAAAAGAGAGCTGCTGTCAGAAACGTGGTAAAAAACCTGTCTCAGTTTTAAATGTCTGTAATTACAACTGTTGGAAGAGCACAGATGGGTGTAAAGAACCTTGTCATCTTTATTCATGGCTTCCCATTTCCTTGGCCAGCCTCCATGGCAATGGCACAATTTAGGAAAGACAAATATGACAGACAGGAAAACATTTATATGCCCTTATTGGGAATAGCAGGAAGGTGTTAGAGCTCTAACAAAAGGTGAGCTGTCAGTAAAATTCAGGTCCATGTGTTCACTTCTAGGAAAACTCAGTTATGGTCCATGTGTTCACTTCTGTGTCCCTGTGTAGGGCCCAGCCAGTGACAGGGAGGCCCCTGAGACCTCTGTGGAACTTGGTCTTAGACTTGTATCTTTTGTTCCTAAGCAGCAAAGTGCCAGTTCACATCAGCTGGACCTAAAATCAGCCCTCACTGAAGCACAAGTTTTGCAGAACTCCAGTTTCCCACTGAATTGCATGGCTATGTACCCACTCCTCCAGCCACATCTTGTCTTTCCATTCCCCTGCTCTAAACAATATAATTACATTAAGAAATGTCGATCTGACACAAATCACACCACTAACAAAAGAGCACATCACAAGGCAAATATTCTGGTTGCTACCTGGCTGGGAGACACAGCCTGAGAAATAGAGATGTAGAGGAAATTGATTTTCCTTTCAATGCACATTTTTTCCCTCCTTCTCCAGCTCTCCTCACAGACCTGTCTTCTAGCACCAACCCAAAGACATATTTTATGTGTATTTCAGTGCCCCTGGGCTCAGCAGGTTACAGCATCCCTGCCAGGCTGGGTGCTTCACTCCCTCTCCTCCCACTGAGGTTTTAAATAAGAGCAGATACAGGTGAGGGGGTTTTCTTACTTGACATCTCAATTTGCTATAGACAATTTCCCATATTTGCCAAATCTTCAGAGACAGTTTCAGGACTCATAAGTATTTCCTAGTAGTCAGATTACCACTGGAATCTCTCTTCCAGAAAAGAGCTGATTGTATTTTGCCCCTCCCTAATCCCCACTGGCAGCAATTAACCCATTCTTTGCTTTTCCACCCCACTACACCAAAGTGTTTTATGGCAGTCCAGTGATGCAGTCACTGCCTTGACTTTGATTGCTTTTCATCTGCCTTAACAGAATGAATGATTTCCAACAAGCCATAGGTCACTAAAAATTTAAATTAAAGACTCTTCTTTTTACCTCAATATTGTGTAGTGAAGCCCTGTCATGTAAAATGAAGAGCAGCAGCATGCTTGGCATTACAATAAAGTCAATGAAAATCACTTTCATTTCATAGAAGAGGGTTAAAATGAAAGCAATATTTACTCCCAAGTATGGCATTGCAGAGGTCTCTAAAAGCTGGAAAGCTCAGGGGGTATATTATATATAATATAATATTATATATAATATTAAATGTAAGGGAAGCTAATGGGTTTTGTGGATCATTTTGGCTAAAAAATTACATGAAGGCTACACATGTTTAGGAAAAGGGAAATTTAATGTAATTCTAAAAAAAAAAGAATCACTTTGGAGTGATTTTAGTTGCCTTTAGGTTAAATCTTTAACCTTTTAGGTTATACCTTTATGGAGTTTAATATGCTTTAAAGTTGTGCACCTCCTGCATTGCAAAGAGCATTCCTGGGAACTGCAGGACCACAGATCTCTTTCTCTTGGGGATGGATACCCATTTTCTAAGTGTAACAGAAACAGGTAAAAGGATTTCAATATAATCTGAGATCCTCATGTGCTTTTTCCTCAAGATAATCTGTAATTTGTATGTTGAGATGGTATTTTTCCTCCAGTGGGAGGTGGGGGAGTTGCTGGTGCAGAAGCAGCTGGGGGCTGTGTGCCTGCAGGGATGCTGTTTGCAGAAGGATGTGGATTTTGCAGGGAATGAGGCTCGTTTTTGGGGGAAAAGCCCTTTTGCAGTGCAGGTTTGCAGCCTCTCAAAGATGGGACAATGGCCCTGAGGCCACCAGTACCAGCACTTCACCTGCATGGCTTCCCCAGGGCCTTTACCCAGGAGCACAAACCTCCTGGCATCCAGAAGTTTTCCTTTTGATTTCCAGTGCCTCTTCTCCACACTGCTGGTGTCTGCTCTGCAAAAGAGACCTTCAAAACATCTTTTTGAAAGCAGCACGATCTTTCAGCATTAAACAGGAATGGGAGAGCAGGGGTGAAGCTCTAGTGCTATCAGCACTACACTTATCCTTTTGTTTCTTTCTTTCCTGAGTCACAGATACAAAACTGGCTTAATATGAGCCTTTGAAAAATACTATCAAGCATAAGTAATGTAACACACACACACATGCACAAAAAATCTTTGTGTGTTAGTTTTTATGTGCTTTGATTGAAAATGTAGTCCAGCTCCATCTGTCCTATTCCCCAAGCTCCCTACCACCATGATAGATTATTTTCCATATTCCAATTAATAAAGTAGGGCAGGCAGTGTTATTTAATTAAAAAACCCACGCATCCAGGCATCCTTTATATATATATATATATATATATTTATTTATTTTTTTTAATCACAAGAGCACAATCCTCCTCAAGAGTTTGATGAGATGTGCCTCGCATTGGAAACTCCTGGCAAGAAAAATAGAAAAGAGGAAAGCTGTGTTGAGGGCTGAGCACATCTTGCTCCATCACCAGGTTGCTTTTCAAGGTCCATATCCATCTTCCTTTACCCCCCAACCCTTTTTAACCCAGCAGCCAGGCCTGGGGTGATTATTTTTGAGTGTTCAACTGGTCACTAGTTCTAGTCTAAGGTGAAAATTCAGGCAGGTTGAATGTGCGTGTGTGTATAAAAATATACATTTGGATAATTAGGAGGGTTAAAATTCAAGCAGATGTGAATAGCTGTGGAGCTTCAAAGCCTGTTTATAAGCATGTTTGTGATTCCAATCACCTTTTTCTTTCCCTAACTTTGGTCTCCTTTTCCCATTTGCCTCTGTGTGGCAACCTCACTGTCTAGAGGGCAGCACCATCACCCAGCTCATCCAAGCCCTTGTGTTCACTTTTCTCTTTCCTTCCTCCTGCTCTCCACCACCCTCATATCCTGTTGTGTCCTTCAGAGATCCCAACCCCCTTCAATTTTCAGGGTGCTTATCAAACAGTGGGATGGGTGCCATTCCATCCTGGCTGTAGTGCAGCACGTTGGGATGCACTCCATACCTTGCAGGACAGCTGCCCTGAATCTGGTGGGATGCTTCCTATGGTTAAAGCTGAATGCCACGTTTGAGTTAGCAGGACAAGAAATTGAAATTACCTTTCTTTAGGTGATTTCATAACAGCACCTTGAAAGGCTGCAAAAGCCTTTGAGTTGCTGCCAACCAAAGGAAATGCCATGCTGCCTTTTCTAAACCAGTTCTGAGCCATATTGGAAAGATCCTGCCATATGTTGCTCTCCCTTGCTGCCTGCAGTTTGCTTGTGCTCCTGCCTGCATTTCTCCTTGACAGAAGCCACGCCAGGACCTTGCTCCCTCTTGGCTTGGACTCTAGCTTGGCTTTCCCAACACCAGCATGACCCATCTGCATCTCTTCCCCTTTACATAAGCATTTAGTGAGTGGGTGCTGCCCACAAGGTGTCAGCAGCGATTTTGGGGACCGAGCTGCAGAGATCATCTCGTGCTCTGGGGTGGGATCCTGCAGCGTGGCAGTGAGCTGCAACTACTTACGGCAGAATTTGTCTTCCTGCAGCTCAGGGGTGAAGAGCCTCAGCTCATGTGGGTCTACACCCAAATCTCAGTGCCTGCAGCTGCCCTGGGCAGAACCACGTGTTTTTTCTGTTCCTTTGTGCTGCTGAACCGAAGGGCTCTCCTCCCTCATGCAGGGCATCAGCAGAGCTCTGTGCTGCAGTGGCTGCTTTCCTCAGCCTGCTTGAAATGGGGAGCACGTATTTTGAGCTACTTCAGATTGCTTTTGCCTCTGCTTAGGGAATTTGGACACACGCTCCTGCTGTCTCCCAAGTCCCCTTCAGCTGGTGTCAGGTCACTGCAGTTTGGCATCAGGAGCCTCCCCTCTGAGCCCTTTCCTTGCCCTGGTGCTGCAGCCCTGACCTCCCCACCGGTTCTCCCTGTGGCTGTGACTTCAGCAGGATGAGCCACTTTGTTCCTCCTTTTGCCCATCATGCAGATTCCTGGCCATAGTCCCATCCCTGCTGTTCTGCCACAAGAAGTTAATTTCTTTTTATGTCACTCATCACTTTGGAGTCAGTGGCAAGTACCACCCTCTCCTTAGGGATTCCTTTCTCTCCTGTTTCTCCTGTTGATGCAGAACTGACACAATTTCCCTGTTTGCTTTTCATCTGCTTTAACTTGAGATAATATTTTTCTCCTCTGGCACTGGAACAGCTGTACAACACAGCTGCTGCTGCTCTGGCACATGCCATAAATGCTGCCATGCATCCTTATGCACATGTGGACCTTGAGCTGCTCAGGAGAGTGGCATAGCCAAAGGGATGCTTTCAGGCTTAAGCACATTCCAGCAAAGCAGGTCCTGGTATGAGGTGGAGAGCCCAGCACACCAGTAAATAACTTGCCCAGCAGTAATTAGCTACCAAAATCTCTCTGTGACAAGGGACCTGAGGAATTTTAATCCTGGGTTTTGCTTTTATTTTGTGACCAAGAAACCAAGCTGCAGCACTCATGGATCTCTTTTTCTTTCTCTTTTGTTTTTTGTCTTCCATTAACTTGCGCTGTAGCCCCTAGACGGATAACATCTTTGGAAAAAGCCTATGCTGCTTTGAATGGTACGTAGCTCAGTTGATGCATCGTAGATGGTAGCAGACAAGAAATGCACTTGTGTTTTAATATGGGAATGAAAATGTCTAAACCCACCAAATTTCAGGTATTGTTTTATCCCCGCTGCTCTGTTTCCCTGTGCTATCCAGAACTGAATGATACAGTGTTTTATTGTTGTTACTAATCCTTTCTGCATTTCTAAGCACCGTTGCTGTAGTCCCTGAGCATCGATGCCATCACTCCAGCCAAACAAACCTGCCGTGTTCTTCTCATCCTTCATCCATGTGTCCCAGCAATTAATTTGTTACAAATCCACATGCCATTCATAAGGAGAGCTTCCAAGGATTTGGGTTGGGTTTTTTTTTGCTTTGCTTTAGCACATACTCTGGGTCAGGGTTGGTGTGTAGCCACAAAGGCTCCAGGGGTGTAAGATAGAGTGATGTGCAGGAGGAAGGAAAAGCTCACCTGCCTGTACCTGTGGCACAGCTACAGCAGATCCAGCCTCAGTGTCATCAGCTGGGATTTTGGCTGTGGGTCTAGGTGTTAATTGCTGCTCCCACAAGTTTATAGCTCCACTTTGAAAATATAAATATGTTAAGCTAATTCAAAGTGCATTTATACCTGAGTTACTGCAGAATAGCCTCAGTAAAGTCAGCATGTTTATTCTGGATTTACACAGGGGTGTAACTGATTTGCAGCCATGGAAGCTGGAAAAGAATCCTCTTAGGATTCAGGGCCAGATCCCAGGCTGCTGTAGGGACCCTGCCCTCAGCCTGCTGGCTGAGTATCTCTTTGATGAGTCTGGAATTGCCTGCAGAAGGGATCTGAGCCATATTCTCAGTGGGATGTGTTGGGCAGGGACAGTTTTCCTGATGAAACACGCTTCCCAACAAGTCTTTGGGTAACAGGAGGTTGTTACTCCCTGAGCAGTGGCCGAGCAGAGGACAGACATCCCCTTGAGCAGCATTTGAGGGTACAGGTGGTACAGGCATGGGAAGGAAGAAGGCTCCATTGGGTATCCTGCCCAACTGTGCTGTGGCTTCAC